TGACACTAGCTGTGTGGCCCTGGGCAAGTCACTTAACCCCAACTGCCTAAAAAACAAACAAAAACAATGTATATAGTCCTTTTGGGGGAGGTGGAGCCAAGATGGCTGAGTAAAAGCAGGGACTCACCTGAAGTCTCCCACAAACCCCTCCAAATATTTTTTTTAAATGACTTTACACAAATTCTACAGCAGCAGAACCCACAAAAAGACTGAGTGAAATAAAAGTCCAGCCCAAGACAACTAGGAAGTTCAGCAGGAAAGGTCTGTTGCACTCGGGTGACAGAAGAGTGCAGTCCAGCGCAGGCCATGCCAGCCCAGACTGGCGCTAGCAAACCCAGAGCAGGCAGCAGTGGCAGTTTCCAGACCTCTCAGCCCATACATGCCAAAGACAACTCGGAAGGAACACAGGAAAGGGCTGTCACACCAGAAGCAGGCTTGGGAGTGACTGAATCAGTAGCGGCAGGGCAGTGGCAGTGGCTGCTTCTAGATCTCTCAGCCCACAGATAGTAAGGGGGTCAAACAACTGGTCAGAAGGAGATTACAGGAGTCTTTTTTCTAGCACTAAGGCAGGACTCTGTTGCTTTACCCATGCTCGGATCTGGTTTGCAGTCCTACATGGCAGTTCCAGAGTGGCACAGCTTGTGGCAGCAGTGCAGGGGGGGGACCCTCCTTACAATTCCAGAGCAGAAAAGAATGTTTGTGGTTGCTCATAGACCAGAGCACAGACCAGGAGATTAGTAAACACCTCTCCTTAGATCATACCACCATAGAAGAAATGAAAACTTACAGGTCCCTAGAAGTATCTCTGAAAACAGCTGCACAAAACCCCTGAAGTTTGGAGCAATGCATCCTCCACCTTAGAAACAGAGTCCTATTTTAACAAAGAGTTACAAGTCAACTAGTAGGCTGAGAAAATGAGCAAACAACAGAAAAAAACTCTATTGAAAATTACCGTGGTGATAAGGAAGATCAAAACAGACACTCGGAAGAAGACAACAGAGTCAAAGCTCCAACATCCAAAGCCTCCAAGAAAAATACGAATTGGTCTCAGGCCATGGAAGAGCTCAAAAAGGACTTTGAAAAGGAAGTAAGAGAGGTGGAGGAAAAACTGGGAAGAGAAATGAGAGTGATGCAGTCAACAGCTTGGTAAAGGAGACACAAAAACTAGAAAATAACACCTTAAAAACCAGACTAGGCCAAATGGTAAAAGAGGTCCAAAAAGTCAATGAGGAGAAGAATGCCTTAAAAAGTAGAACTGGTCAAATAGAAAAGGAGGTCCAAAAGCTCACTTTAGAAAAAGCTCACTTAAAAATTAGAATGGAACAAAGGGAAGTGAATGACTTCATGAGAAATCAAGAAATAATAAAACAAAACCAAAAGAATGAAAAAATAGAAGACAATGTGAAATATCTCACTGGAAAAACAACTAACCTGGAAAATAGATCCAGGTTGGACTTCTTGAAAGCCATGATCAAAAAAAGAGCCTAGACATCATCTTTCAACAAATTATTAAGGAAAACTACCCTGCTATTCTAGAACCAGAGGGTAAAATAGAAATGGAAAGAATTCACCAATCACCTCCTGAAAGAGATCCCAAAATGAAAACTCCTAGGAATATTATAGCCAAATTCCAGAGTTCCTAGGTCAAGGAGAAAATATTGCAAGTAGTCAAAAACAAGCAATTTAAGTATCATGGAGCCACAGTTAGGATAACTCAAGATTTAGCAGCTTCTACATGAAAGGACAGGAGGGCTTGGAATATGATATTCTGGAGGGCAAAGGAACTAGAGTTACAACCAATAATCACCTACCCAGCAAAACTGAGTATAATCCTTCAGGGGGAAAAAATGGATATTCAATGAGATGGAGGACTTAAAGGCATTCTTGACGAAAAGACCAGAGCTGAATAGAAAATTTGACTTTCAAATATAAGATTCAAGAGAAGCATAAAAAGACCCACATGTACAAAAATATTTATAGTAGCTCTTTTTGTGGTGGCCAAGAATTGGAAATTGAGAGGATGCCCATCAATCGGGGAATGGCTGAGCAAGTTGTGGTATATGAATGTAATGGAATACTATTGTGCTATAAGAAATGGTGAGCAGGCAGACTTTAGGAAAACCTGGAAAGACTTATATGAACTGATGCTGAGTGAAGTGAGCAGAACCAGGAGAACATTGTACACAGTAACAACAACATTGTGCGATGACTAATTTTTATAGACTTGGTTCTTCTCAGCAATGTGTGGATCTAAGACAACTCCAAAAGACTCAGGATGGAAAATGCTATCCACATCTAGAGAAAGGACTATGGAATCTGAATGCAGATTGAAGCATACTATTTGATCTCTTTTTTCTTTTGTTGTTTTGTTTTATTTCTTCTTTCTTGTGGCTTCTCCCATTGCTTCTAATACTTCTTTACAACATGACTAATGTGAAAATATGTTTAATATGAATGTATATGTAGAGCCTATATCAGATTGCATGCCATCTTGGGGAGGGGAGGGGAAGGAAAGGGCAGAAAACTGAAAACTCAAAAACTTGTGGAAATAAATGTTGAAAACTAAAAATAAATCAATAAAATTTTTTAAAATGAGGAGCATAAAAAGGTAAACAGGAAAGAGAAATCATAAGGGAGTTAATAAAGTTAAACTGTTTACATTCATTCCTACATGGGAAGATGACATTTGTAACTCGTAAGACTTTTCTCATTATTAAGGTAGTTAGAAGGAATATATATATATATATATATATACATATATATATATATATATATATATACACACACACACATATACATATAGAGAGAGAGAGACAAGAGGACACAGGTGTGAGTTGAATATGAAGGGATATCTTTAAAAATGAAATTAAAGGGTGAGAGAGGAATGTACTGGGAGAAAGAGAAAGGAAGAGGTAGAATGGAGTAAGTTATCACATAAAATAGGCAAGAAAAAGCTCTTACAGTGGAGGGGAAGAGGGAGGAAGTGAGGGGTAGTAAGTGAACCTTACTGTCATCAGAATTGGCTCAAAGAGGGAATAACATACACACTCAACTGGGTATAGAAACCTATCTTGCCCTACAAGAAAGCAGGAGGGGAAGGGAATAAGAGAAGGGGGTGGAGCTGATAGAAGGAAGGGCAGATTGGGGGAGGGGGTAGTCAGAAGGAAAACACTTTTAATAATTTTTCAGTTTTTAACATTCACTTCCATACAATTTTGAGTTTTAAATTTTCTCCCCCTCCTTTTCCTCCCCCCTCCCCAAGATGGTGTGCAATCTGATATAGGCTGTACTTATACATTCATATTAAGCATATTTTCACATTAGTCATGATATAAAGAACAATTAAAAGTAATGGGAGGAACCAAGAGACTGAAGCAATAAAACAAAACAACAAAGGAAAAAGAGAGCAAATAGTATGAGAAGCAAAACACTTTTGAGCAGGGACAGGGTGAAAGGAGAGAGAGAATAGAGTAAACAGGAGGAGGGGAATAGGATGGAGGGAAATACAGCTAGCAATAGTAACTGAAAAAAATTTTTGAAGCAAATTTCTCTGATAAAGGTCTCATTTCTCAAACATAGAGAACTGAGTGAAATTTAGAAAAATAAGAGCCATACCCCAACTGATAAATGATCAAAAGATATGATCAGTTTTCAGATGAAGTAATCAAAGCTATCTATAGCCATATGAAAAAATGTTCTCATTATTGATTGGGGAAGTACAAATTAAAACAATTTTGAGGTACTACCTCATACCTATCAGATTGGTTAGTAGGATATAAAAGGTAAATGACAAATGTTGGAAGGGATGTGGGAAAAATAAGACTTTAATGCATTGTTGGTGGATTTGTGAACTGATTTAACCATTAGGTAGAACAATTTGGAGCTATGCCCAAAGGGCTCTACCACCATGTACCCTTTGACCTAGCAATACCACTACTAGGTCTGTGTCCCAAAAGAGATAAAAAACAAAAAGGAAAAGGACCTGTATGTACAAAAATTTATAGCAGCTCTTTTCTAAGGGTAAAGAATTAGAAGTTGAGGGGAAAGCCCATCAACTGGGGAATGGCTGAACAAGTTGTGGTATGTGATTATGATGGAATACTATTGTGCTATAAGAAATGATGAGTAGGGATGCTCTCAGAAAAACTTAGAAAGACTTGCATGATCTGATGCCCTTAAATGTACTATGTACAAAGTAAAAGTAATATTGTAGGATGATCAGCTGTGAATAACTTTGCTGTTCTCAGCAACACAATGATCCAAGACAGCTCTGAAGGACTTAGGATGAAAAACACTATGTATCCCCAGAGAAAGAACTGACGGCGTCTGAATACAGATTGAAGCATACCTTTTTTTAAACTTTCTTTATTTTTCTTGAGTTTTTTTTTTTTTGGTCTATGTTTTGTTTCAGGACGTGACTATTATGGATATGTTTTGCATGACTAGATGTGTAAAATGTATATCAAATTGTTTGCCTTCTTCAATGAGGGGGGATGGAGAGGGAGGAAGAGAAGAAAATTTGGAACTCAGAGTTTGAAAAACGAATGTTAAAAATTGTTTTTACATGTAACTAGGGAAAAATAAAACACTAAATGATCTTAACAACAACAAAGATCAGTCCTTGTGGCTGTTTTCTCAGTTAGTCACCATGATCACAGAACCAGGTACTCAGCTCCATTGGGAGCAAAAAGTCTGATTCAGCACAGGAGCTATGTCGTCAGAAGAAGACTGGGCCAGTGAACATGACTTAGAGTCCCAGCTCTGCCACAGACGAGGCTTGTCATGTGACCTTGGGTTCTCTGGTCCCTTCTAGCTCTGACAGTCTAGGTTATATTTTAGAGCATCTCCTCATTCTAACAGCTTACATTTGAAGCTCCCTGCCAGCTCTGAATTTCTATGTTCTATGACTATCATTTAGCTATTCTCTTGCCTTCGTCCATTCTGTGCATTACCTGAGAGAATAATTACAAGAGACATTCATTTGTGTTTTCTTCTTCTAGATGAAGAGAAGAGTTGGGGGTCCACTACCACGTGAGAGGCCAAAGCAGGTAAGAGGAAGATCCCATCGGAGTCAGTAGCTGCTCATATTTTTATAGTACTTTATGGATTACAAATTGATTTTTGATGATAACCTTGTTAGGTAGATAGTTTAAAAATCATTGTTTTAATTCTAAAGAAGCAAGAGCCACAGTTGCCCAGCTAGGAAGTGCCAGAGCTGGGCCTGGTGCTTAGATCTCCTTGACTCTCAACCTGTTGCTTTTTCTCTCCTACACTACCCTGTACCTCCAGTCTGACTAGAGACATAAAAAGAGGTACACCTAGCAAGAATTTAGACAACAGAAACTTCTCCTTCAAGATGGGGCACTTAATTTAGGGATGTGGACAACACATATTGCCATGACCTGTTATACTAGCTAAGACCAGCTTCATTCACACCCAGGATCCCCAGCATAAAGACGAAGTAATACATCATCCACCAGTACACATAATAACATGAGTCTGTAAAGCCGAATTTGTACTTGGACAGCTGGAGGAGGACTATGTTACCACCCTTTTCACCTGTTCATAGCAACTGAGCATTCAGTTGTGAGCTCTTTTTGAGGACAGGGATTGTCTTTTTGCCTTTCTTTGTATCCCTTAGCACAGTGCCTGGAACATAATAGGGGCTGAATATTTATTGACTGACCATAGGCTGTCTGATTACCATATGGTAAAGCAGTTGCTCTCTTTTTTCAGTAACCAAGCTCAAATTCCATACCCTATATTCTTCTCCTACTGTCAGAGGCCTCTTGGGACAAACAGACTGAGGATGGAAGTTAGTTCCCACCTTCTACTTAGCTTCTTCTTAGCTAAGGGAGCCACCAGCAAGATTTCGCCTCAGCTCCAAATGATGCCACTTCCACAAAACATCCTCCCTCCCAATTCAAATATCCTTTTGAGAAAGCATATTGAGAAACATCAGCCCATGGATGTTTTTATTAACCACCCCGTTCTGTTTTGATTGAAAGCTGGAAGGTCATGAATTCAAGACGAGGTCAGTAGCCAAGAAGACACAATTTGAAAAGAGGAGCCTGCCTCTGTTTCATAATTCCTGAAAAATGCGTAATTATCAAAGCCCAAACCAACCAGTTCAGCAAGCTTGGGCCTGCCTTTTAACTGGCCCATTTAAAAATAAATTCCAACCACTGTGTCACTCTGCTAATGAAAACAAGAAGCAGCACGTACTCGTAAAGCTGTGGATACAATCTTGGAGTCAAAAAGGATTTTTCAGAATTCATCTAGGCCAACACACACCTGAATACTGTGCTACAGTGTTCCCAACAGGCAATCAGCCCATTCATGAACTCTTCCTGTGACTATATTTTTGTAGTGTCAAATGAACTCTTGCCTGGATTCTCTGTCTTGTTAGCCTGTGCGCTCACAAGAGAACTGGGGGCCTCCACTCTGAGAGTCAAGCTGATGGAAGTTCTCACCCCCCCCCCCAGCCTCCTATTGACTAAGGCATCCAACCAGCAAGATTTTGCCTCAATTCCCAGTGGTTGCCTAGGTGTTGGCATGAATGCAGTTTTGTGAGAGGCTTCCAGAATTGGAACCAAGTCTATCATGTCGGGAGCCAGAGCCTAAATGACATACAGGTTACCTTTGGGGGCGCTTTCACTCATGAGGCAGCCCATTTCACTTGCTATGAGCTATTTAGAAGTTTTCCCTTATGTCAGACCAAAACTTATTTTTCTTAAACTTTCTCCCATTTCTTCTGCTTCTGCCCTCCAGGGACAAGCAGAACAAGTGTATTCTCCCTTCTACATCACAACCTTTTTCACATATTTTGCAGGCAGTGATCATGTGTCCCTTAAGTCTTCTCTCCAGGTAAAAAATGCCAAGTTCCTTCATCTAATCTTGTATAGCTCCTTAGCCATCCTGAGCATCTTCTCCAGATGTATTCTAGTTTGTCAGCATCCCTTCAGATGTGGGATGACCAGGGCAGAGCACAGCGGAATGATCACATCCCTTGCTCAAGACACCAGACTTCTGTTGATGTAGCCCAAGATCATATTAAGCCTTTTGGTCACCGCATCCCCTTGTCAACTCATATTGATTTTGCAGTCCATTGGAAGACAGAGAGATGGACAGACAGGCAGGCAGATACAGAAAAACAGAAAGAGAGACGTGTACACAACAAAACATATCTCCATCAATAACAGAGTGATTGTGGAGTAAAGGATGCCACAATGGTTGAGTGTGAAGGCAGCTTAAGACTGAAATGATATGGAGATCTATGATTAATATTCGGGCCATAGCACCAAAGCTACACAGAACTCTTTTCTTTTCTTTTTTTTTTTTTAGAGGGGCAGTAGGGGTTAAGTGACTTGCCCAGGGTCACATAGCTAATAAGTGTTATGTGTCTGAGGCTGGATTTGAACTCAGGTCCTCCTGAATCCAGGGCCGGTGCTCTATCCACTGTGCCACCTAGCCACCCCCCCACATAGCTCTTTCTTAGGCAACCAGTTACTCTATAGTTAGTAATCAGTAATCAATACCTCTTTAGCTTCATGGTGATGACAAACACAGCTTTGGAATCATAAAACTACAGTGGCCCCTGGCTTTAGAATCAAAGTATATAAAAGAACACAAACTTATGTGAACTTGTACTGGGCTTCATTGACATGACTATCAGCTTTTGGTCCGCTCCCTCCTCAATCAGGCTGTCTCCTGGAGGGGATCTTTCACTCCCCACCCCATATTTCCTATACAAAAACTAAAACCATATTACAGTGAAAGGTAGTGAAGTAAAGTGAGAATAGCATCAGACTGGGAAACCTGGGTATGAGTCCCCCTCTGTCACCCGCTAGCTAACTGGACAACACTGACAACTCATTTCACATCTTTGGGCTTTAGTTTATACCTCAGTAAAATAACACAACTTTGAACTCAGTAGAACTCTTTCCACCCCGATAGACTTTGTTCAGAGATTACTTCGACTTCTAACTTTCAACATCCTGGGACTATCTTCAGTAAACACCTTGACTCTCTACTCATCTTGTTCTTCTAACTTAGGCTTACTACCCCAGAGAAAGGATAGGTAGATAACAAAATGTGTAGACCAAGAGGGATGGAGTGGGGGATGCCACAGCATCTTTCACTGGATCCCTTAGGCTTGAGAAAGGGGGGCATTTCATAAACATTTCCTTTAATCTGGAAATCAACTCCAATAAGCAGGAATTTTTCTTTTACCACATGCACCCCAAGCCCCAAATGGCTAGTGGTGCAACCCACCCCCATGTGCTCATTCCCCCCAACAGCTCAAAGCTAGGATATTCTGAACTCCCTAGGTAAACATACCTGCCCTCTTTTCTGGATTAAGGTCTTCTCCACCCCTCATCCCAGAATCTGTGCTCTCTAGAAAACTCTACCTGGCTTGTGATTCCTTCTAACATCAAGATTTTTCAGAGAAACCCCAATGAGAAGGAGGTTCTCATCATGTTTAGAAAAGATCATCAAAGGTATCAGAACAAACATTATTTACTAGTTGTCTGACATTCAGCGTGCAGAGCCGGCTGGGTGGAAAAGCTGGTGGCCTCTGGACTCTGAGCAACTTCTGCTGTAACTCAATGCCCTGGTGCCTGGGGGAGAGCAAGAGCATGAAGACTGTGTCGTGTCAGACTAATCACTACCTACCCCTACTATCATACCCCCTCAGCAATAACTAAGGAACTGAGCTAAGAGGGACCCCTTTCTTTCTCTGCCTGATTTTACTATCCCATATGCAGGAGGGGCATATCTGGGGCTCTATGAAGAGGACAGCCTTCATTCTGGGCTCTGGTCTGCTTTTGTCTGTGGCTTTTTGGAACTCTGTCACCTGGTAAGTCAGCTTGAACTGTGTTGTGTGTGTGTGTGTGTGGGGGGGGGGAGTGGAGAGGTAAAATGAGACCTTGCTCCATACCCCAAACTCTCTTTCTTCCCTGGGGGGGCTCTCTCTTTGAAGGCATCTGCAGAAATTTTGGGGTGCCTCAGGCTACTTCTGGCAAGCCCAATGGGAGAAGTTACTTTCTACTTATTCGGGAAAGGAGTGGATCCTCTTCTTTCTAGGTACAGTCTTTACCTAGTGATCCCATTCCACAGGACAGTCTCCTGGGTGTGGGCATATGGCCTTGGTTTTTCCTTCCACTTTGTGCCTCAAAGGCTCAGCAATTTAAAAAAACAGTATTGATACTCAGGAGGAAGCTGACATATTGCACAGAGAAGGATGAAGGACATGGAGAAATGAATGGTTCAAAGGAGGGAAATAAAAATCCCACTAGATGTCAACTGTCTGCCCAACAAATGTTTATTGAACATCCCTTATGTCAAGGCCCTGAGCTTAGAGGAATACAGAAATCACTAGAGTGAGGGACCACTTGCTGGAGTGGAATAACTAATGGTATTGAACTCAAGATGCCTAGGTGTGAGCCCCAGTCTCCTTCACTTATCAGCTATGGGACTTTGCAGCAAGTCCTGAGTCTCAATTTCCTTATCTGAAAAAGGAGGATAATAAAATATTCCCTACCTGCTTCCTGGGACTGTTGTGATATAAGAACTTTGTAAACCGTAGACTATATCCTTGTGAACTTTTGTAATTATTAGGTGGACATATGTAGAGGCCTAAGCAGATTAGGAAATTTCGAATGGAAATTACATGAAGACAGGAACTTCACAGCCACCCAAAAATATATTGCTAGAGTGTACTCACACTTATTATATAATGTCAATGAGCCTTAAGAGCACAGTGAAGAATTATCCCCATTTGACAAAAGGAGAAACTGAGGTTTAGAGCTCACATTTCTAAGTGCTTTCCTTTAGAAAACATTTTTCATACAAGGGTTTGGTTGAAGTAGGTCATGTAATAGTTTACTCTCCCCATTTTACAAATACATTTTACAAATGAGGAGACTAATACTTCTAGAAATTCCAGTGACTTTTCTGATCATACAAAGGAAATGGAGCAGGGTGGATTAGAACCCAGGTTTCCTAGAGTTTTTCTGTTGGACCATACTGCATGACACTAGGATCACTGCAGGAAGAAGAAAGCACTCTTTCTGTGCCTCTCTCACACCCTGCAGGCCCAGATTCAGAGAAAAGGAGAAATCATTGTGTATTTGGGTAGAACAGGACGGGCTTTCTCGAGGAGGTAAAAGGTGATCTGTAGAGAGGCAAATTACTTCAAATCCAGTTCTGCTACTAATTATTGGTGTGACCTTGTAGGCACTCTTGGCTAATGAGTGTGGAATTTTCAGACTGCGTCCTTAAAAAGCCATTTATAACCCATTAGAGTCACATCATCCTTTATACTTTGAATCCTTGTACATATAACTCAATAAATGATTGTTGAGTTGAATTAAATCACTTTCATATATGACATATTATCCCACATAATCCTCAAAAACCTTATGAAGTTTAACTGGGTCCTCATTTAACAGATAGAAAAAAGAGGCTCAGATGTAGAGTGACTTGTCCAGATTTTCCTGGCCAAGTATTCTTTTTCTCTATGCCACATCTCTTAATGTGGGCTGAAAAAGAAAGCATTGCGTCAGCTGTCTAGTTTACAGATGAAAACATTGTCCAAGAAAGTGGGCATTTCATTCCTTCATCTCAGAATGTCTCTGGAGAGCTCTTTAATGGTGTATATCCCAAAGCAACTAAAGTACAGCCTCCTGTGTTAGGCTAATAGGCTTAAAGAGCCTCTTCTTTGGTCAATCAGAAAATTAGGCCTTTTTCTTCAAAGACAGCCCAATCCTGTAAGGGCCAAAATTGTAGGGTGGAGAGCTAGCTAAGGTAGGGCTGGCTTTGACTAACACTTACTTTGTCTCCTTCACTGTAGGTACAGTTCTTATACCTACCATGTTATTTTGGAGTTTTAATGCCCTTCTTTTGGTGGTGGACACAACTGGGAAGCCACATTTTGTCTCCCGCTACCGAATTCAAGATGGCAAGAATGATCCTGTAAGTCTTTCCAGCAGCACTTTGACTATTTAAGGTCTTCATTCATTTTGGGGGTGGAGAGAGGTAGGACAGGGTAGAAGGGTGGTGGAGCAGCAAAAAAAGGTAAGCTAAGCCCCATGTATAAACAATATAAATTGTTAGTGACCAGACCTTTTGTTTCAAAATAGGATTGTATCACAAGATTTAGAGTTAGAAGGGATGTTAAAGGCCACTTAATACAACTCTCATGTCCTCATTTTATAGATGAGAAAATTGAGGATGAGAAAGAAGTGACTTGCCCAAGGTCACACAGGCAGAAAAGAGGAGTGGTAGGATTTGAAGCTAGGTCCACTGACTCCTAGACCATTGGTTTTTCCATGATGCTTCAACCCTCCCGACTCTCATCCCTAGACAGGACATAGGTATCAGAACAAACATTATTTACTATTTGGGGGGTTGAAAAGCTGGTGGCCTCTGGACTCTGAGTGAATTCCATTGTCACTCAGTGCCCTGGTACCTAGGGAAGAGCAAGAACATGGGGAGTGTGTGGTGTCAGACTAATAAAACAGATATGAGGCTCTAAGAGAAAGAGAAGTCCAGTGCTTTTGCATGCTAGTACAGTTGTGATGAGCATCCAGTTTACAGGGTGATTCATCCCCATTTGGACATGCCCTGACTTTCTTTTTAACCCATTTTGGACTTAGCCAAGAACACAGCCCTCATGTATAGAGGCCAGAGGCCCTACTGGGCTACCAGAGGCAGCTTTTACTTTATAGAGTTCAAGAACAGAATAAGGCTCACAGAGTTAAAACAAGAAGCATTACTCTGGGGCCTGGGACATTTTCCCAGGAGAATGTTATGATGAGAACTGCTGGCAGGAGGATATAGCTGGGGACCTCCCCAGATCGGTTTTCCCCACTGGCTGGGGTGCTACATACCTGTTTCTCCTCCTCTTTTACAAAGATTGAGTCTGAAATCCGGAGAGCTCTTGGACTAAAAATAAAAAAACCTGCCTTTACACAGGGACTGAAGGTATTAGAAGACTTTTGGGTAGACAGGCTTCCAGTCAGGGAAACGGGGCTTACCAGTCAACCATCCTGGCAGTACACTGCCAGCTACTTCAGCCTTGGTGGCACTGGTAAGGGAAAGCAGGCCAAGGCTGTGAGGAGCCTATCAATTATGGATGTCCATGGGTAAAATCAAGGGTGTGATGGAGCCAGTTTGTACTGCTTTTGAGAGCAGACTGTTCAACTTTTTTTTTTTATAAACTTAGCATTTTATTTTTTCCCAGTTACATGTAAAAACAATTTTTAACATTTGTTGTTAAAACTTTGAGTTCCAAATTTTCTTCCTTCTACCCTCCCCACCTCCCTCATTGTGAAGGCAACCAATTCAATATAGGTTATACATGTGTAGGCAAACTGTTACATTTTCAGTGTGAGCATTTACACTGCTACAAATCAAGGCTCAATTTATTGCTTTGTTGATGGCCTAGAGTCCCAAAGGTATCAAACTTGTGGCCCACAGACAGCAAGGGGCCAACAAAACTTCCTACCTAAAATGTAATTAGGAAAAGTTTAACAAAATAAAAATGCAGTACAACATAGATGATGTTAATTTGTGATTTTCTAAGTCCATAAGTGGCAGCCAGGAATCCCTTCCTATTTGAATTTGACACCTCTAGTCTAGACTTAAGAAAGTAATGGAAAAAATATTAATACTGCAGATTAAACTTAAAAATGTTTTACGCCTACCTTTTTTTCCCCCTGGAGAGCCAGTTGTTAAATATTTACCAGCACGTTCCAACATGGAACCATCACAGAACTATGGAACTGGAAGTTTCAGGTATTCATGATTTTCATGGCAAAGTAGAAGTAGAAGTCAGAAGACAAGGCTTTGAATCTCAGCTCTAGCACTTACAGAGGAACCTTGTGATTGATCTGGGCAAGTCATTCTGCCTCTCTGCACCTCTGGCCTCAAAAGGGACAGGAATGCTGTCTACGTTGCAGAGTTGTTAAGAAGAAAGCATTTTGTTATTCTCAGATTATAAAGATATACATACATGATCATCATCATCACTGTTATTAACATCACCAAATATTTAACGGTGTTTAGTATCTGTAGGGCATTGTGCTATATCCGCAGGGTAGGACAGGACTCCTACTAAGAAAACAAGGGAAGGTCCTTACCCTGTCCCACTGCCCTATGCCAGATTGGACTGGCCCAGGCCAAAGACCAAAACCTCCCTTGGCTCACTAGTGTTCCTTTCCTGGTACAGGTAGACCCCACGAAACTCCGCCAGGCCGTTCTCACAGTCCTCTTCAACCAGTACATCATCTCCCTCCCCGTGCTGGGGCTCTCCTATCTTTTCCTTAAGTGGCGAGAAAATCCTTGCCGCCCTGAGCTGCCCACCTTTCACTGGTTCCTCTTGGAGCTGTCTGTCTTCATACTGACAGAAGAAGTCATGTTCTACTATTCACACCGGTGAGCTGGGTTGGGAAGGGGGAAGAGTGGACTTCTTCACCATTGTCTGGGCCACATTTACACATTACAAAATTTAAAAATCAGAGCTCAAGGTCAAAACTTAGGAGACCAAAGCCCAAGTCCTTGGTCTAGGACCAACCTCCCCGTGAGCTGAGCATCATGAGATTACTGTGACTACGAAAAGTTCTGGAATTTGAACCAAGATTTGAATCTCATCTATAACACTTATTATTGATCCTGGGAAAGCGACTTCACCTGAGTCTGTTTTCCCATCTATAAAAATGGGGTTACTAATCTAGGAGTATTGTTGAGGAAAGTACTTTGTAAACCTTAAAGGAATAAAAAGGTACAGGTAATTGTTTTATGCTAAATAAGATGAGGACCCCACCTCCAATTCACTTACCTGGGATGGCTGAAAGAACATTCTTGAGTCCCTCAGTTGTGAAGTATGGGACAAAGATCAAAAGCATGCCTGCAGAAGTAGTTCCTATCCTTTGGCTTGTTACTGTCCTTCCATGCTACTTATCAAGCTGGGGAATGATGATTATTTCCTTTTCACTACAGGCTTCTTCATCACCCCATGTTCTATAAGCGATTCCATAAGAAGCATCATGAGTGGACAGCCCCCATCGGTGTGGTCTCTCTCTATGCTCACCCTATAGAACATGTGGTAAGCAGAGATTCAGGCTGTGAAGCCCTTCCCACCTAGCCTAGGGGAGGGACAGAGACAGACCCTTAACTTATTTGTCAGGCAGACTGGCTTTACTCTCCTCTTGTTCCTTAGTCCAAGATGCAGCAGAAGGCCAATTCATTTCTAAGCTACCCTCCCTCCTCCTCTATTCTCAGGATTATCATCCAAGCAGACCTAAGTCTCTGAAAACCTGCTGATGTCCTAGGATCCTCTTAGGAACAACACAGCCCCATCAGGCAGAATTAGTCTTAAGGGGCTGACTGAAGAGCGGAAAGAGTCAGTGCCCATTTTCCCCAGCACACACCCTCCACACCATTGATCTTCAAATATTTCTCACATAGACCTCTGTAACTCTTCTTTTAGCCCCCACTGTCCCCTCTCACAATGACAGCCCCTACATCTCCCTCCTTGCTCCTCAAAACAAAGCTGTCTTTTAACTGCAGGTGTCCAACTTGCTGCCAGCCATGGTGGGTCCCATGGTAATGGGCTCTCATCTGCCTTCCATCACTGTGTGGTTTTCCTTGGCTCTCATCACCACCACCATTTCTCACTGTGGTTACCACCTGCCTTTTCTGCCTTCACCGGAATTCCATGACTACCATCACCTCAAGTAAGGTCCTTCTCAGGAGCTCCCTGACCCTAGGGATTAGCCCGGATCTGAACTATATGATATTTCTACTCCCTTGCCTTCTGCAGCCAACCTGAGCGGCTGGCAACTTGGTACATATTGGGGCACAAAATGGGTCTTTGATCCTTGACTTGAAACAGAAGAAGCAGAGATTATGATTTATTTAGAGAAAGGGACTTTAGATACCACCTAATCTAACCCCCAACTTGTAGAAATTGAAACCCAGAGAGGTCAAATAATTTGCCCAAAGACAGAAAATTATTTTGTGTCAGAGCCAGGACTAGCACCCTGTTATTGTTTCCACTAAAGCATGCTATTTACCATCCAAGTGGCAAACAATCAGAGCTAGAAAAGCCATATGGATCACAAGGTTCCCTGGTGCCCACAACAGCACCTTGCACAGAGTAGGTGGTTAATACCAAAGGTTGAATTGAATATCAACAACTCACATTTGTGTTGTCCTAAGTACTTCACTCATAGCAAAATCTACCCAACAAGCCAGAGTCCTTCTTCAGGGTCTTTTAAACATTTCATAGATCTCTATGCAAAACCTGGATTGTCCAGCCCTTACTCTGACTCATTTCTATTCCAGTCATGTCTATACATGCTAACATCTTTCATGGCCGTCTTTTGGTGCAAGTCATTATTGAGAACATACAACATCTTATTTGTAGGCTATCTCCCTCTTCCCATGCATCTCCCCCTCCCTTCATGGGTCACCCACAATTTTGATTCTTGAGAGAAGCCTTAAGGTAAGTAATGAGTGATAAGTACACTGACAAAGTTCTTTACATCTCTTATCTCATGCAATCTTCACAATGCAAGCCTATCCAAAAATGGCACTGCTTTGGGAGTGAATAAGTCCCCTGACTTCCTGGAGGTTCTCAGCAGAGGAGAGTGATGCTTTGGGCATGCACTGGACTAGATACTCTCTGAGGTCTCTTCCAATGCAAAGATTCTATGCAGAAGGAACTTCTATGAAGATTGTAGGAGATGCTGGCTGAAGTCCCTTTCAATTCTTGAATGCTGTGACTTACCAGCTTTGTGACTTAGGGAAGGTCAGTTCACTCTTCGAGCCTCTTCTGTAAAATGAGGACAAGAATAATTGTGTTCCTTATCTTCTAGAGTTACTTTGAGGAAAGTGCTTTATAAGCCATAAGATGCTATGTAATGAGATTTATTATTATTTGGGTATAGGAACTACAGCCCTATTTCTGCTCCCTTGCCAGATTCAATCAGTGCTTTGGAGTGCTGGGGGTACTTGACCATCTTCATGGGACCGATACCACATTCAAGCAAACGAAGGCTTATGAAAGACACGTGCTGCTGCTGAACTTAACTCCTCTCTCTGAGAGCATCCCTGACCCACCCAAAAAGACAGAGTAAGGCGGCATGAGCCACTGGTCCCCATCCCCACTGCTTCTGGCATGGGGCTATCCCCATTAGACCTAGGATGTCTCCCTTGACAAACCAGAGCTAATAATTCTGCTGAATGACTTTCTAATGAGACAGGTTGATTCCCTGATGACTGGCTGATTGTGACAGAATAAGGGGAAGGAACACGGCTTCCTAGAGAAAGTACCAAGCCCCATTCTCTTCCCAGAGCTATGCCATAGTGAACATCCTCTATCAACCATAATATGGTGGGGTGAGGGTCATGAAGTACCATTGGGTAGTAGGAACACTAGAGCCTGGAGAGCAAAAAGGCAATGGGTTGGGCTCCCAACCCCATTGATGGGTTCACTTATGAACTGACTCGAGTGAATTATTAGAGGACTACAGGCCATGTTAGATGAGGACCAGTTGAAGGAACAAAGGATGTTGAGTCCAGAGAAGACTTGAGGAAAGACGTCCTAGTTATATTTTAAGGGCTGTCACGTGGAAGAGTGACTAGATTGTATTTGTCACGCTAGAATTAGGAGCAATGGATGGAAGAGAGGCAGATTCAGGCTTAATGTAAGGAAATGCTTCCTAACAATTAGAGCTATCCAAAAGTGGAATGAACTGCCTTAGAAGATAGTGAGTTCCCCAGCCCTAACGTCTTAGTCTGGGTAACTACTTGAGGAACAACTCTTGCTTAAATATGGTCTCGATGCCCTCTTGAGTTCCCTTAAGATTTTAAGAGCAGAGCTGAGGAGGGAGAAGAGAAGGTATGCCCCTAAACCCCAATTTAAGGGGAAATTTTGTTAACAGTCTCCAAGACTGGATGAAAGGCTTATTGCAGTCAGACATTACATCAGGGTTACTCTCAGTTGCTAGAAACTGCCATGAGAAGCCTTTCCAGTGGCATGGTGGAAGATAGGAAAGGAGGAAAAGGGGAAAATGAGATGGCCACCATGCCTTCTTGTTCTTCAGGTTCTAAGTTAGGGAAGTGGCTGATTTTACCTCTTCTCTATCAGCCCTGAATAGACTCAATCACAGGAACATGGGATTTAGAGAAAGGACATTAGTCCAGCCTCCACATTTTATAGATAAAGAAACTGAGGCCCAGAACGAAGTACTTGCCCACAGGTTAAATAAACAGGACAGCCTCTACATCAAGGATGGATGCCAAGAGATCAGGCTCCTGCCAAAGATGACCCAACTTTCCCCCAACCTGTTGGCGAAGATGTTCTCTCATTTAGGAGAACAAGGCCTCTAGTTCAGGTCCTGAGCCATCCTCAAAACTCTGACCCAAAAAGCATCCCCTGGGTTCATGACCCAAAATAGCAAAGAAGCTAGAATAAATCCCAGTACTAAGCCCTGGCTGCCCAGCTGGGTAGCAGAAGAAAGCCCCAAAGATGGTCATAGTGCCCCTGAAATGAATAGCATCCAAAGGTTTTGGTGCACAGCCAGTCAGAACAATGGTATGTTCTCAGTTTCCCCTCAGTTCCTAGAGGCAAGTTTCACTGAGCACCTAGGACAGGAAGGAAGCAGCTGAAATCCTAAGCAGAAACCCCTTCTTCACAACCCTCCCCATAGACCCAAAAGAATCCAAAAAGGGGCCTTGCACTAGCCTCAGAACACCCTGCAGCTGCTGAAGTGAACGTAAGATAGAACTAGCTTGACACCCAGCTCTTTGCCTCTCACCCTATAGCTGGGTCCTTAGCAGGCTGAGCCTATGGAATGGTAAGATTGAGTTGGAAGGGCCCTTAGAGATTACTGAGCCCAATTTCCTCATTTTACAGATAAAGAAACTGAGACCCAGAGAAAATGACCTGTCCAGTTGTAAGAGTGGTAATTAGCAGAGCTGAGATTTGAACCCAGGTCCTCCAACTCCAAATCCAGGGCTCATTCTACTGTACCATGCTGTCTCGAATTTCTCAAAGTTCATTACCTTTTCTACCCTCCTACTCCCCAGGACATGACAAGCCGTTTGCTTGTCGTGGCCAGAGAAGATCCTCTTCAGCTGTCTCCCAAGGATCCTTTCAAGAGTATCTCAAAGTACCCCCCAGCTAAAAGCTGGGCCACTTGCATTTAGTCCCAGGGTACCGCTCTGAGACTGGGGCTGCTGTCTGTCCATCCTCTGTAATCTATGCCTGCAAATAAAAACAATTAAAAAAAAACCCCAAAACTTCAGAGGTACTTTCAGTTCAGTTAAAAAATTCAACCAACATTTATTCAGCACCCATGTGTAAAAAAGCTCACATTTAAATAGTTAATGCATTCATGTTTACAAAGTGCCTTCCTTCCTCACAACAAGCCTGTGAGTTGCACAGTACAAGAATTATCCCCATTTTACAAGTGGAGAAACTGAGGCTTAGGGGCAAAAAGTGACTTGCCCAGGGTCACAAAATATAAAAGCTATGACTGAAAGCTAAGTCTTCTGATTCTTAAGACCAGAGTTTTTTTTTTTTTTAAATTACAGCAATCCTGGTCTTCAAAACACATAATAGAGGTAATGGTTGAAGTGTGAGGGAAATGGAATGTATGGGGGTGGGTACATAGAGAATTCCCACTCCTTCCCCTGCCCCTAGCCCAGCCCAGTTTCTTGGATTTCTAAGGTAAACCTCAATACCTTAATGAAAAAAGGGGAGAAGGTACTATGGAGGCTTCCTCCTTTTCCCTCCCCCTGCTGTCCCTCCCTCAGAAGATCTCAGTGATGTGTCAATGACCTGCAGGAGTTATACTAGCAACTCATGCCTATGTAGGTTTTGATTTATAAAGTGCTATCCTCACTGCACATAATAGCCCAATGAGTGCAGGAGACCACTGAGATAGGGGAAAAATGCCAGGAAAATCCCCTAACCCTAGCCCACATCTTCCCTCCCTTCTGTCCTCTCCACTATAGGCTGATGAAATTATCTTCCATTATCAAGGTTACAAATTGGCATGGGGAGAGAGGAAATCCAGGCCACCAAGATGTGCTTCAGTGATCTTCACAATACACTATACCAAAGCATCCTCAAAGTTCAGTTTGGCTTGCAGTGGTTTCAACCAACAGTTAAACTTTTCATTTTTCCATTGATTACTCCCACACACCACAGCCACAGAGCACTCAGCCTCTAACTCTCTCTAGGATGAACAGCAAGACTGGCCTAATTTTGATCACAGATTATAAGAAGTTTTCCCCACAGCAGGCCCCAAGCCCCCACATAAGTGGTAGTATCTCCATTTTACAGATGATGAAACAGACTCAGAAAAGGTAAGGACCTTGCTCAAAGTCATATATTTAAGAAGTGGCAGAGATGGGACTTGGATCCAGGTCTTCTGACTCCAAATTCAAATATGTTTTCCCAGTATGCCACACTTAACTTTCCAATAACACACTTAAATCCGAACTACTGAATTTTAACTGCCACATTAATCCTACCAGAGGCTATGCTCCCCATTCCCAAAATCTGCCTTTAGTAAAACTTGAGAGATGCCTGCAATGATGCTTCACTCACATCAAAGAGAGTGATGGGGATATAAATCTTATTTCTTTCAATTAAAATACTTTCAAAGTAATGTCTTAAAATAATTTTTTGAAAAATTTACCTGGCATAAGAAGTGAGGCCTACAGGGGTAGTCATTTGTCATGCTAGATACCAAAGTTCAGATGTCACCGCACATTTTAATTCCTTTGTGAACCATACTAGGAAAAAGGCTGATATATATCAGGTATGTTAAACGTATTGTGGACAACACTGAGGGTTGCTAGAACCAGATTAAAATGTAATTGGGAAATATTTTAACAAAAGAAATACAAAGTAACACAGATAATGTTAATATGTCATTTTCTAAGTCAACATGCACTGGCAGAGAGCTTTATGTACAGTTTAGTGGCCCCTGTTTCTACCACTGATGTAGATCATCAATGAACAGGCAAACTATGGTCTTATCAGCAGATCACCCAACAATGTATGGCTCTCCTTTTCTTTTTTGGCCCTTGTATCTCTCCTTCTTGCCACTCAAATCATCCATTTCAAACCCCAATTACAGGGATCCCCTCTGTGTTGTTGTTCAGTTGCATCTAACTCTTGGTGACCCTATTTGGAGTCTTCTTGGCAAAGATATTGGAGTGGTTTGCCATTTCCTACTCCAACTCATTTTAAAGATGAGGAACTGAGGCAAACAAGGTTACATAACAAGTGTCTGAGGCTGGATTTGAACTCATGAAGATGAGTCTTCCAGATTCTTAGCACCTAGTTGCCTCCCCTCTATCATATTCTCTCCTAAAACGGTCACTTAGCCTCTGTTTGAGAATTTCAAGTTAACAGGCAACTCACTGCCTTTCTGAACAGTCCATGCCCCTTTTGAACAACCACAGCGATTAGGCAGTTATGAATAATTTTCATCTGTTGTTCCTAATGTTACTCAATGAGCTTAAGTAAAACAAGTTTTATCTCAAGTCTTTCCAATATGTGAAGATAACTATAAGCCAAAACCTTTTATTCTCCACACCAAACCACCCTAGTTCATTCAACTAGTATTTGAATGGCTCGATTTCAAGCCTTCACCATCCTGGATTCCCTGTATCAATCAATGCCTTTCCTAATACATGGCACTCAGAACTGAATACGATACGCTATCTACTCCACTATGACTCGATGGTCTTTTTTTCCCCCTATATTCAACAAAAAAGTATTTAGGAAGGCACCATGTTACATGGTGGGGTGGGGGCTGTTACAAAAACAAAACCATTCCTGCCCTCAAGGAGCTTACAAGCTATCAGAAATAACATGAACCGTTTGTCTGCCCAACAAGTTGATTTTTTTTAACCCAATTTTACATTTACCTGTCAACATACCAGATTTTGCCGACCAGTCCAGCCTGTCAAGACTCCCTTGGATCTTGATTCTGTCATCCCACACTGTAGCTATCTCTCCATCAACCCCACCTATACTCCATTCGTGTCACTGATTAACAATATTAAACACAGGCACCCAAGACAAGCTCTGAGGCACTCTTCTAGAGATACCCCACAAGTCGAAATAAAACCTATTAATTTGACACCGTCTGATTATTCAACCAATTACTAACTCATATAGCTGTATTGTCATCTTGCTCACCCTTTCCCATCTTCTAAACAAGAACGAGACACTGTCTGATGTATGTCTGGTAACCCTATCTTTGGCTTGATTCTTCTCTGACCTCACCCATGGCTGCCGGTAACAACATCAAAATCACTGACCTGTGATTTGGGCATTAATTGGTCAGAAGGGAAGGAGGCTGGATGGAATGTCTTAATGCTAGCTCCTGGATTCCTGCCATAGGACGATCGTTGAGGCCTTTGAAAAGTCAACGGGTCCATGTTACAAAAACAGGGTATCCATTCCAACTATGCCAACTAATTCAAACAGACTACAGACAGAACTAATTATGAATATCCCTTCTGAGGCCACTCCAACACTCACGGCACAGGAATAAAAGCTGAGGCAGGCTTAAGATGTTATTTGCAAGTTCTCCATACTTCCCAAAAGAGCAAAGTTCAGAACTGAAGGATACGGAGAAAAAGTGGATACAAGGGGAGAAATACCCTTTTCCCACCATGTGTCACTCCCCCAGCTCGGCCACTGCACATTAGAGCACATCTCATATGACCGTATAAAACACTGATACACTTCCCTGAACCCTGCTGTCAATGGGCGACTCAGCCTACCTGCAAAAACCATCTTTTGTATTCAATCTCTGCTTTAACAGTCTTCCTAGCTCCTGCCCCGCGGCTGGCTTTCTCCAACTCAGGAACAGCTCTGCATCCTATCCATCACCCCCAGTCCAATTCAATCCCTGCTCCCATTCTGGGGTGGGAGAAAGGAGCAACCATGACGGTCTTTTGAAATTTTTATTTTTATACATTTTTTTTTGTATTAAAAAGGAAAAAGCATAATTACCACAAATTACAAAGGACTAAAGCGTTACTAGAATAATGAATGAATCACATCAGCCTGGAAAGCAGATACTCTGAATAATATTAATGTTATAATACAAGCTCATTCAAGTATCTTACATTATTTTTTTGTCCTTTTAAATGTGATGTTCTAGCACATGGTAAGATTATGTCCTATCAGGGAAAGGTGGGTCCTTTACAGCAAAGCTGGACGACGTTTTCCTCTCTGGTGGGGAAACAGGCTATTAAGTTTTGCCTTTACCATCAACATGGCTGAAGAGGGGTGCAGTTTTTTGAGGGGGAAGCCAAGTGATCCCCTTCTGACCTGGGACAACAATGGATTCCAATTTGGGAGGAGCCATACTATCAAAGCTCTTGGCCCGAATTCTGATGAAGTTATCCATGTGTAGCTCAATCATTGGCCCCTGCTTGTCCTCTCTACCCCTGTATCCCTGGCCCCAAGTGGGCAGGCTTCCCCCTTCTCTGAGCAGCCAGGGCTTTTTTTTCCTGTTGCAAAAGCAAAATTTCAAGAAAGGGAAAAGGCAAGTTATAATGTAATGAAACAAAATTTTCCCAAGAGGGCTCAGCACCAATCCATGTCAGAGTCACAGTTGCCCAGGCTGGGGATGGGGGAATATCTGAATTAGTAGTGCATCTTCTCCAAAAGACAAACCAGGAGGGAAGGTTAGCAGTTGCCAAACTAGAGCAGAGGTGGAATGGACAAGAGGCACTATTCAGAAGCTAATACCAAAGTTCTTACTGCAACAAGCCAACCTAGGAAAATAACTGAAACCATCCAGGACATGGAACGACTTTTTGTTTTGTATAGGGTAGAGGATGGGGTGGGTGGGGACTGTGGAGGAAACGAAGAGCTGCTTTGTGACTCAGGTCTTGGGGTCCTTGAGGGGAGATGGAAGGGCAGGCCTGGAGGTCCTAACCCACCCCCGGCGTGCTTGTCACAGATAAGTCGGTCCTAGATTCAAGTGTCTTCAGAAAGTGAAGATGTAAACTACTCTTTGAAACATTAACCCCTAAAACATTAAAAAAAATTTCCCCCTACCCCCCCCCACCTGTGAGCTGAGATGTAGTGCTGACATATCCACCCAGAAAACATTCTTTTAGGGAGTTTCCTTGTAAGGAGAGCCAGGGAGACCAAAGAGGATAGTCTCACAAGACTCCCACCACGGACTCAAAGGCGGAATCCAGAGAACTGGGGCTTGAGCCAAGTAGATTGTGAGGGAGTCACAGGGAAATCCCAGCAGGCAACCTGGGTATCCAGTCACTGTAGGAGGGCTGAAGTGGGAAGCTACCCTGCCTCTAGCTCATCCTGGCCCTCCCTGCTTTCCAACCCCAAGTATGGCAAAGGACCAAGCTTTTGAGGTTACTGTGGCATCAGAGATACAGTACCTGGGCTAGTCAGTCTGAGGGGAGGGAAGGATGGAGTTCAGGGGGAAATGCCCAGTGGAGTCCATTGCCAAGGCAAGCACCAGACCAGGGCAAGGGGGCCTCAGAAACCCTTGCCCTGGTGAAGGCTAGGCAAACTCACCTCCACTGCCAACTCTGTTGCCTCAGACGTGATTGAGCCCCCAGTGGGCTGCAGGAGCTTACAGACCAGCTCCTGGGCCACACATAACAGAAATGACAAAACCTAAGATGCTTTTAGGATGGGGGAGCAGCTAAGAACAAAATAAAACTTGGGGTGCTATTTCAGGCCCCTTTAGCAGAAAAGCTAGTTCCAGTCCAACAATGGGCGACAGAGCCTAATTCTATCAATGGCTCTTACTACTAAGTGGTCTCCTATCCTCCAAATACTGATTTGGACTTAGAAGGAAGACAAAACTCTAGAGCCTGGGGGAAAAAGTGGGAGCGGGGGATGGCAACTTAACAGTAAGACTGAAAGTGCTGAAAACATTCACTTCCCTTTGTGCCTTCCTTTCCTCCACTCTTCTCTGATTATTAAGGGACCTAACTGCTACCCATCAACCACCTTTGCTCATCATGGTAGAGGGCTGCTCCACTCATTCCTTTAGTTCCATCATCACCCAGAGACCTGACAGAATGGTTAGCAGCTAAGCGGCTGCTGGAGCATCAGGTCCACATGTAGCCTTTACTACATGGCTTGGGTGGTCTGTCCTGGGAGATACCCTCCCAATTTTGACTTTTGTAACACCCCCCCCCCAAGAGAGATACAAATGTAGCCAGATTTTTCCCTTGGGGAGTGGGGCAGCCAAAGGCCAAGCAGATGTGGAGTTAGGGAACTAGGCAGAGGATGAGAAGCAGGGGCCAAATACATATGTACCATGAGAAACACAGTAGAGAAGAAATCTCTTGTCCTCTAGGGGAGGCCAAAACCTACTCCATGGCTCCAGAATTCAACAGACTGGACTAATTTCAGGAGATGGGAGCAATTGGGGACAAGGACAAAGAAAACTTTGTCTTCTACAGCCAGTTCAACCCACCCCTCTAGCCACCCCAGCAACCAGGGAGAACATACTCTGCCCCCACCCCCTACTGCCACAGGAAGCACATGGAGTTCAAAAGGCAGGAGCTGACACAAGACCAGAGCTTGCTGATTATCCAGCACCCACGATGCCACTTTCCTCGATCGAAATCAAGAGGACGTGGGGTGGAGGTGTCATCCTGGGGCCCACATCTCCTCTCAACAGATGTTCAGGACCCTGGGGCTAGGCATATGGAAAAAAGGCAGGGTGTATGTGTGGGGGCGGCGGTGCGACAACAGCACAGTACATACACAGAACGTCAGCTTCAAACTACGCGCTGGCAGGTATCTGGGGGGAACCCCCCCCCACAGCTGTGGCTGTCCTTTCCAGCCACAGGGGGTGGGGGGTGGGGGGAGAAGGATGTTGTGCAGGTGATATCTCAGTCCCAAGATTTCCAGCCCATCGAAACTCAGTTATATCCAGCCAGCCAAGGGCCAGAGCAAGAACTCCTGATGTCAAGTCAGTTTTAGTCTGTGATCCCAGGCCAGGTTTCTGACTCCACAGAGGAAAACAGGCATGTGTCAAATCCCCACTCCACAATAAGGCAACTTTTTTAAATATTATTTTTAAGGACAAAAGAACAAAGGGCAAGAAGTCGCTTTTTGTGGCTTGGGACTGGGTTTTTTTTTTTTGGTCTTTTGTGGTAAGTTTTGTCCTTTTTTTGTCATTTTCAAGGGACAGAAAAGTAAAATAAA